CATTCAGAAGTCTTCCTTCCCCAGGGTTTCTAGAGGCAGGTCCTCTTCAGCTGTAGCAACAGCCAGTGAAGGCACAGTTAAGTCGCCTCTCTCCTTCAGCTGTCTATCACAGAAGAGAAGAGTGAAAAAAAAAGTCCTTCTGTGTTTATTTTTGACAGCACTGCTGGGCAAAAATGTAAAGAGCCCAGCCCAGTGCTACATTTAGATGAAAAGTTTTGATGCAAAGTACTTCAATTGCAATGATTAAACTGAACATAAAAGCTCCATAAAAAATTGCAGTTTGTTTAAAATGCAAAGAGAAGAGAATTTGTTTGAAAGTAGATAAGAAAGTCTAGGGTTTTTTTATCACTTGAAGAATTTTTTCAAAACCAAATAAGTGAGAAAATGGAATTTTTAAAAACTATGAGCAGGTAGCCATGCCTGTTCTTCTCATACCTTCTAGTGGTATTCAGTGCAAATAACATGCTTCCTCTATCAGACCAAGATGCTAATGAAGGCCTGGAAGCCAAGAAGAGCCTTTGTTGACAAGCTTTGTGCTTGTGATGGTTGCATCCATTTGAAATTAGAATTCTTTGACAGGTGCATTTGACTTGCAGTTGACCTTCTTCTTGGCCTGCATTTGACCTGCTTCAAGTGGCTTTTTAATTCCCGTAGACTCGTATGAGAATGCAATTACCCCTTGAAGGGGACAAATACCCAGCAACACAGGACCATATGGAGAGAAGGAGAATGAGGACATATTACAAGGCCGATGTTCTTTCAGGTATATAAACATTTTAACCAGTTCCTGCCCAGCTTATAGTCAAATGGATATTCACTGTTCATCCTTCCAGAATGCACCTGCATGCTGCGGCACAATCTGTCGTCTGCTGTGTCCACCAGACACAGCGGATGACTGATCAGTATGCTCGCCTCTGCCAGTACCATGTGATCGTTGTGACCAATCACAGCGGATCACATGACAATTGTACACAATGGATGGCTTTCATTCATGCCATCCATTGTGTACTATTGTGTTGATCTCTATGATTGGTCACAGTGATCACATGGTACAGACAGGGCCAATCAACAACATGTGATTAGCTGTGGCCAATCACAGCTAAGCACACTGAATGAATCAATTTCATTCAGTAAAAAGGTTGCTTCTAACAGTGAAGTTCACTGATATAAGCAATCATAATGTAAAGTATTAGCAAGCTCTTCTTTCTCCATTGAAAGGAGATGTTAGCAGGTCTTTGCATTTCATCAATCAAATGCATTTTTTATAACAATCTAGGGGGTAGTTCCAAAAATGCTATTGACTCATAACTCCTGTAGCTTACATTACACAGATCTAATAATTAATGCAAAAGATTGAATGCAGAGAGATAAAAAAAAGTGTGTAAACATGCCCTAAAAGCTTTGTTGTATTAATAATTTGCGTCTCTACAGGACCATAACAGTTCCAATTCCATTAATGGTCTCCAAAGCAGGTGCACCACAATCACTAAGCATATAACTACATATTTGTAAAGTGTGTACAACTGTATATTCGTACAACATCGTTTTGATCCTAAAACTATATAGTCAAGTGTCTGAAATTAGGCAGTTGTCCATACTCTTGGGCTCCTTATGATTACTGGGGGTATACTACATATTTTCCATTACTACCTGCAGCAGAGGAGTACTTAGTTAATCTTTCTGTAGTTTGTATCCAATTTATCTGGTTTGCTTGTAAGCATGTCTTTTGTAACCCCGCCCACCCCACCACCACCAGTGACACCACCAGTCACTGCACATCTTCTGGATTTCTAAAGCTGAGCTCAAAGTAGATATAAAAGACACAAACTAATACTCTCTGTAGCTATACAGATCAGAGGAGTTGCATTCTCTTTATATTCGCTGATACGTTTTTAGGAATCTGAACTTTTATTTCGAGATCCAGTGGGACAATACTATAGAAAAAAAATGATTTGGTGCAAATAATCTATTGTATGCCACTTTAACAGGAAAGAAAAATTTCTGCACAAATTTCTTCAAAACACTACAGTATATGAATACAAATGCTGAACTATTATAAATGATTTAAAGATAGCCAAACCTGTGTAATATCATTGACTCTTGCTGTAAATCTGATCTGATCCAGATCTAAACCTGACCTGAACCACTGAACAACTACTTTGTCAATCAGATATGAAAATGGAGCTTAAATTTGCACTGCAGATGTGAATCCACAAGAAACATAGGTAGAACTGGAGTTTTCTTTTGCATGTGTCTGAAGGTTCCAAAGGTGATAGAAATAGAATTAAGTTTAAAGCAGATATCCGTGCAAAACATTTTTTGCACCATGCACTAGGGATGTGCCCGCACTGCATGGGTCACCTGCTCATTTTTGTCTAGGGGTCATAAGAGTGAAGATACACTTACCAAATCTGCTGATCCTTGGAGCACAAGACCGGTCCCTGCTGCTTCTTCCCCCTTGCACGCTAGCGGTCTTGTGAATGGACTGTTCCTGTCGGCGTCATGCCCATAGACCGGCTCCGGACATGAGGACGGCAGGAACAGTCCACCACTGGACATGGGGGAGCACAGTTTTTCCAAAGGAACGGGGAACGGAGTATGTATAGCTTTTCCATTAAACCCCTTAAGGCTTCTTTATCAAAGGGCCCTAATAGCATTCTTAGTCTTTAATTGTACAGTTTTTCAAAATGTAGTTTACTTTTTGGATTTATGCAGATTATATATATATATATTTATATATATATATATATACAGTGCTCAGCATAAATGAGTATGCTCCAGCAGATTTGTCAGAAAACCTTTAGTTTCTTTTCAGAATCTACATTTTCTATGGGACACTATCCTACAAAATGCTCCCACAGATGCGGGCCATTGATTGCAAACAAGATTTGTTAATTTGCACACAAAAAAGTATTTTTCCTAACAAATTCATTCAAGACCATGTTGCAAAAATGAATACACCCCAGTGAAAGTCTTAGGAGCAAAGCTACATTTTAAATAACAAAATCCTGATTAACAGGAATTCAACTCCAGGTTTAATTATTCATTAAACAGGTGTCCAGCAGACAGTTGATTATAAAAGGGCTTTACTTAACAAAGAAAACCATTTCATGCTGTCAGCAATAGTACCACATGGACGAGAAATGTCACAAGGCCTGAGAAAGAAAATAATTTCTTTACAGAAGAAAGGTGAAGGCTGCAAGATCAGCATAGCTTTACTTATCAGTCAGAATACTGCAGCAAAAGTGATACAAAAATGTAACAAAGATGGAACTGCAGCCATCTCACAGAGACATCCAGGCCATCCACGGAACACCTTGACAGGAGTGTCTTCTGATGAGAAGGGTTGAAGAAAATCTCCATGCAAGTTCACTACAGTTAGCTAAAGAAGCAGAAAGCCAAACTGGGGTGATTGTTTCCCGTGGCACAATATGGCATACACTGCAGAGGAATGGCATGCATGGGTGTCGTCCATGAATAAAGTCTCTTCTAAAGCCCATGCACAAAAAAGCCTGCCTAGAATTTGCCAGGGCCCATGCTGAAAAAGACTACTGGGACTCTGTAGTCTGGAATGAAGAGACCAAGAAAAATGATTTTGGAACTGATGGCTTCAAAACTGTATGGTGTTGCAAAAGTGAGGAGTACAAAGAAAAATGCATGGTGCCTACAGTGATACATGGTGGTGGCAGTGTCCTTCTGTGGGGCTGCATGAGTGCTGCTTGTGTCGGGGAGCTGCATTTCATTGATGGTATCATGAATTCACAGATGTACTGCTCTATATTGAAAAAGAAGATGCTACCATCACTCCGTGCCCTTGGTTGTCGTGCACTTTTACAACATGGCAATGATCCAAAACACACATCTAACACCACTGTTGTATTTCTGAAGAAGAACAGAGTGAAAGCGATTCAGTGGCTAATTATGTCTTCTTATCTGAACCCAGTCGAACACCTATGGAAAATTCTGAAGAGACAAGTTGAGCATCACTCTCCATCCAGCATCCAAGCTCTAAAAAAGGTTGTTCTTTTAGAATGGAATAAGATCGATGTTGCAATATGTCGCCAACTTGTTCATTCTATGCCTAGAAGATTTGGTGCTATCCTTACAAATCATGAAGCTCATACAAAATACTAGATGGAAAAGTTTTTATTGTGGGGTATTTTCATTTTTGCATCAACGACTTTGAGTAAAACTGAATATTTTGTAATCTAAGTTATATTATTAGCCTTACTTTCAGCTAAATAAATGTTCTATAACTTTCTATAAATTTCAGTTTTGTCACAGTGGTGGAAATTGTTTTTGTGTTCATTGAGATATTGATTAAAATCTTACTTTTCAAAAGGGGTGTACTCATTTTTGCTGATATATATATATATATATGTATATGCACACACACACACACACAGCTATACACATGAGGGGCTTTCAATTCAAAGACTTTACATTTTACAGGTATAAAAAGGGATGCTAGCATGGCAGTACTACATGCAATAGTAAGTGGCAAGTGTGTCTTATTATGATAGGCGGCGCACATGTCGCTGGCCAGTCTAGAGATTGTTGATCAAGATAACAGAAAACAGTGTTAGTGCGTGCATTGAGCAGCGTGTGGTGATGAAGTTTCTTGTGAACTAAGGCACAAAACCCGCGGATATCTACAAAAGACTTCAAGCACAGTATGGTGATGAGATGTTCAGCCACAGTAATTTCAATCAGTGTTTCAAATCACTTGCAGGAGTCTCTGGGCAGGTTTTCAGTAGCCATTTTGCAATGTTGGGTTTAGACAGTGCAAGAAAAAACTTTACAACTGCATTTCAGAAGTTGCAAAGTTCTAAATGGCTATACTGAATTAACTACTTGCCAACCGCAGATAGCCGAATGACGGCTGCACTGCAGACGGCCAGTTCTGGGTGGACATCATATGACGTCCTCCCAGAACGCCCTATCCTGCGCCCCCAGGGGCACGCACCCGGCGATCTCCGTGATTGCTGTGTCCTACGGACACAGCTGATCATGTGACGTGGTAAAAGGCCAATCACAGCGGCCTTTTACCACAAGATCAGCCGTGTCCAATGACACGCTGATCACCGGGAAATGCAAATACCGGTACTCAGCTGCACTTTCCTCACCCTGTCAGATCGTGAGGAAAGTACTGCCGAAAACCGGCAGTTCTCAGAGCGGGGATCGGCGCTGATCATCAACAGTGTCACCACCTGTGCCCAGAAGTGCCACCCACCTGTGCCTGCCCACCAGTGCCACCCACCAGTGCCCATCAGTGCAGCCCAGCAGTGCTGCCAGTCAGTGCCACCAGTCAGTGCCCAGCAGTTCTGCCAGTCAGTGCCCAGCAGTGCCGCCAGTCAGTGCCCAGCAGTGATGTCAGTCAGTGCCACCTATCAGTGCTGTCTATCAGTACCCATTATCAGTGTCGCCTATCAGTGCCACCAATCAGTGCCACCTATCCCTGACACCTTATTAGTGCTGCCTATCAGTGCCGCCTATCAGTGCCCTTCAGTGCTGCCTATCAGTGCCCATCAGTGCCACCTATCAGTGCCCATCAGTGCTGCCTCATTAACGCACATCAGTGAAGGAGAAAAATTACCTGTTTGAAAAATGTTATAATAGAAACAAAGAAACTTTTTTTTTTTCAAATTGTTTTGCATTTTTTTGCTTATAGCACAAAAAGTAAAGTGCCCAGCAGTGATTAAATACCACCAAAAGAAAGCTCTATTTGTGAGAAAAAAATTATAAAAATTTCATATGGGTACAATCTTGCATGACCGCGCAATTGTCAATCAAAATGTGACAGCGCTGAAAGCTGAAAATTGGCCTGGTAAAGAAGGGGGTATAAGTGCCCGGTAGGCAAGTGGTTAAAGTCCTATTGTTGCTACATTTTCACTTTTACTGGGGTGCCCATTTACTAACCATGCTCAAATACAGGCATAGACCCCTTTATCTTATTTTCCCACAACTCCCTGAGTTCCTGGACAGGCCTAGGGAAGATAAGTTTCTCTGCTTTCCTCTCTCAGCAGCTCAGAGAAGCTACATCTGGAGAGGCAGAGGTAGTTGGTCAAGTGATTTGCAGCCTAGTGAGAGGCCCTCCACTGTCAGAAATGGAATGTCGGCAGCCAGGAACCTAAAAGCGTGCAATTTCTCCGAAAGACCCATCTACTGTGGGGAGCACCTCCCCAATTGCTGGTGCTCTAGTTCAAGCAGGGTAGCCCCTCTTTGTCCTTGGGCCTGGGATCCCTCCAGCCATTTGCCTGTTTTACCAGAGCTACCCTGGACTTCACTGAAAGGGATGCTGTCTATGAGGATAAGTGCAAGTAGCTTAGTGTGTTCTGAACGGTTTTATTGAAATGGTGATTCCCAGCTAGACTCTCTGTTGCTCTTACATACAGTAGACTAAACTATGCAGATATTCTGACCCTGTTTTGCATTATGGATTCTAACTTTGCAACTGTTTCAAAAATAGCCAGTTACACTTTTTCAAATCATTCAGATGATTACTCACCAATAGCACACTGAATGCAGACATTTTCTAAATGGCTACATGGCCATTTGGTACACCAGCAACATGGGCCAAGCCATCAAGGCAGCAGGTTCTACCTTTGAAAGTAGAAGTATAAGGGTTTTAGCCCTACATTTCTCCTTCATCTGAGCTACACATAAACAGAATAAAATCAATTCCTTTTTTATGATATTAGTTGTTCTGATGATTGTTTTTTGAAGGAAATAAGATGGATTATTGCACACAGTCATCAGGTGATGTGAAGCATCTCGTTTCAGTCTGCATTGATGTACTTTTTATTGATTAATGTCTGCCTCTTGTCTTCCCCACATGCAGGGATTCTTCTTGAGATGGGTGATTTTTTTCATTAATGGCAGGCATTATGTTCCCTGGGTATTTCTTAGATAAGATGCATCCTTGAGCAGTATACTCATAAGTGGCATATGTCGTGCCCGTAAGAAAAAAAAGTGAATCTACATTTCCCATCTTGTTTATTTTACTGACAAAACTATGGGGCTCATTTAAAAAATAGCTTCACCACAGCCATAATGCTGCAATAAAAAAAAAAAAAAAAACAGGCAATGATCTTTACAAATATGCTCTCCTCTCCACTGGCTTCTTAGAACAGAACTGAATAAAATTTCTGTTAAAAATAAGGTCCTGTGACCTATTAAAGTTAACGAATGGCTCTCCTCCAATCAAGGAACTGTTTCTGCTCCTTTTAATAGAGAGAACGCTACTAGCTACACACAGCAGCCCAATTTGCTATGAATAGGATAGGACATGGTGTGTAGCAAAATACAGGGTAATGGAAAGCTGATAGCAATATACGCACTCCATTATTAATGAGCCCCTATGTGTTTTAAGTGTTCACTCTAAGTACAAACATCCACATGACACATCAATTTAGCATAATAAAGATTTTCAGATCATTTTACATCTATTCAGATGCTATTTTTCTATGGTGATAATTGTATCTTATGACTCTTTTCCCATAATAATGGGCCCCATGGTCATGTACACTAAAGTATGCATATCCAAAACTTAAAAAAAAACACTTTTGTTAGATAGGAATATAAAGAGATAGATGTAAATTAGGATATTAATGTGTGTTCTAGTTAAAGTTTAATGATCAGATTATAGGAATAAAAGAACTCAAGACACTTGCTAAGGTTAACTATGTTCCTTGTGTAGTCGTGTTGTCAGGATCTTAACTGTTGAAGTTATCCATCTTCATTTTCTTTTTCAATAATGTTTATTGAAAGCTTACATACAATACAGAAAATAAAAAACAATATAAAGGCCTTCAGCCTGCAAGTGGCCCAGTTTGAGGTATCCAACCATAGAAGGAGGGACGGTATCGCCTCATGGGCTATATACAGTGGGTATATAGAAACTAAAACAACAATCAATCTGAAAACCAACAAGGTGGTTATTATAAAGTTCCATCTCAATTTTCTGTATTTATCACATTACAAGCTGAACTGGCTTTTTGTAAAGTCACTACAGTGGTGGTCCGCTCAGGAAAGGTGCTTGTTTTGTTATACTTGCTAAGGTGCGTTTTTGGGCTTCTTGCCTAGGTTTATTCATCAATGGAACAAAACGCATTTACGCTTATGGCCCCTGTCACACTAGCGGTCCAAACAGGACCGCATATCCATTTTGTTAGGTGTTCCCGATGAGACTCTCCAATCTCCTCTATGGAGCGGTTGGTGTTAACAGACATGTGTCTGTTTACAACCGCCTACATCCCATCCGATCCCCTAAAAACAGATGATGAGGATCTGCTCCTCTTCTGTCTAGCGAATCGAATGGAAGTCAAGTGTAAATGGATAGGTGGTGTGTTTACATTTGAAAACCCATAGAGAAGAGCAGGCTGTTTCTGCATCCACTGCACATATGCATAGCGGACATGGACCAGCCATCTGCCTGGCTCAGCAGGGATCAGCGGACAGATCCCCCAAAGAACAAGAGGAGACATGGCGAAGTCCGCTCTGTGAGAAAGGGGCCTTAGTGCTTTGTTAACTCTCATTCTGTCACGCTTTAATATTGTGTTGTGTTAAGGCAGCCTGTTCATTTTGAACCTCAACACATAAAAAAAAAGCATATGACCCTTTATCAGCAACACAGATGGGGTACGTTGCGTGTTGTACTCTACTCTCCAATGCAGTGGGGCAACTCATAGCACTGCAACACACTGCACATAAAGCAGGTACATTGTCATTCGTTTTGGTAACATGTTGTGTCAAGACGCTCGTTTTAGAGTACCTTGCCATAAAGCACAAGTAATTAATAGGACCTTGAGGTTTACCATCACAGGGGTTTGTTTCCACATACTGGTGCCTCAAAACAATCTCAGGCAACCTGAATGTTTTATTGCCCAGCTTAGTCTGTCCAGAATCTCAGGCTGTTTAAGCACATTTGAGCTCTGAAGACGGCTTCCCTCTGCTGCTCCAACTTTGGTCTTGATCAAGTTCTTGTCGGTTCCCACAGATAAGCCTGGACAGGTACTCCTAGTGTATCTCCTCTATCTGCTGCCTCATGAACACTGCCTGACTGCAGTCTCTCTCCATTCTGCACCCAACCCACCAATCTTTAATCAGACTAAATTGTCCTACCCGGTCATGGACAATCCAACCCAACAGTTGATGTCAAAGGGCAACTCCCCTACATTTGTGACATAATGAACATACTCTTTTAATCCACCCGACCCATCTGTGCTAGCTATAATAGCAATCATGTAAAACAGCTGTTTATGGAGATTTCACTCTATGTCCCAACCTCTTTTTGGGCATCCAGTGAATGTCATAATTCTGGTTATACCCCCGGGCGCCTTTATTTTACAATGTACCCATAAGAACCCCCATCTCCCATTTGTCCATTTTACAAAGTGGACATACTTATTTCAACCCTGAAACTTTTTCAGTTTCAGTTTAAAAACAGATTACAGGTAACTACACTGACTGAATTGAACATTTTATTTTAGGGCTTCTGATGGAATATATGAATAAACTAAAGACTTTTTTACTTATTTGCCTGAAGTTGTTCTTGAAATCACTCACATCTAGTGCTCCAGCACTGGGAGTTGTCAGCTTCATGTCATACTTTGCCCCCTCTCAGCTGTTATAATTGTCACTTTTCAGCTTCCCATGGTGGGAAGCTGAACAGATACAGCCGTTAGCGAAATTCAGTATTGAAACACCACTGGTGAATAGGGCTTCATTGTGTGAGTTAACACATATTCAATACGTTTATAATAGTAGAACTACAGTAGATGTAAGAAATCCCACCACAGAAAAGGTATGTCTAGTATGTTTGCTATGTGCCCCGTGGTATAGAACTGTCAGGGGATACAAAAGTGTAGTTACACTTAAAGCAAACCATGAAAACTTCCTCTACTGGGGCTAGAAAATATTTTTAAAAGGGTTACTTTCAAATTTAAATACAGGCATGCATAGCCATTATTATCTCAGATGTCAGTATATTGCAACTAACTGTCCAAAGTCTCCTCTCCCAGTCTGGATCTGCCACTGATTTACAGATATAATAGCAAAGGGTTCAGTGAGCGCTAACCAATACAGCAGCTGATACACTAAAAAGGAAAACCATAGAACCTTAAAAGTGACATAAACATAAATAGTGCAGCGCTAAAAACGATATATATAACTGCACCAATATATATATAGAACAAATGGTGCAAAGTTTCTTAGATATTATCAAATTGTATAGGCCACATGAAATGTGTATAAAATTCCCAACAAAGATGCAGTAATGGCGTATATCACACACCTTCACTTCACTATATAAATGCACAGTATAAATGCACAATAAAATGATAGTCCAGTGAATATCTAGTGGTGAAAAAGCCACGGATGAGTTGAGAATAGCTTGATAAGATCCCTGTGATAGATATAGTC